CACTATAGACATATAATTATTTCTAGTACAAGTATACTTTATATTACCTACTTGAAATTCAACTCACCAATGTATTGTTCGTCCTTTTGTCCTTAATCGTTAAAAAAGCCCCATTCGCTGACATGTCTGGCGGTACTATATTCTTTTCGATGCAGTAGATTCGAATCTTTTGGCGAAGGTATAAACTAAATAATCAAGATACAAGAAGCATCTAATATGTTTGAAAAAAAAATAAATGTCTTCTTTACTACTTAAAAAACTTACGTTAAGTTTTCGATATCTGCTCTTTTCAATGTCTGGCACCTAACCAGCTTTATTTTGGTATTATTCGCTTTATTGAAGTTCGACAAATTGTTCCTACCTTTGGCAATAAAATGCTCCCAAAAGGGAAAAGAAACTTCTGCCTAAAGTCAAATAACTATAATTAATACAATACATGATGCTTAAAAATAAATTACTTGTAAAACTAACTCTAAAAGTGGTTATATCCCCACTATGTCCTGAGCTCCGGTACCAAGCCATAGGAGCTATGTCGTCTTTGTTGTCATACCTAAACTATGTACTATACTCTTATGTATTTTTACTTCGGTTAATTTTACATTACATACTCACTTTACCACGTCGCATATGAATTTCTTCACAATTTCCTTTAACGGCTTTCTCAGTGGATTGGGCATGAATAATATTTTGACATGCTTAGACATAACGTAACTGTTTACTTGCTCTTGCATAACATTTTGTCGCACATTCTGGTCCACATTGGGTACTTCAAATCCTGGAATCTATAATACAGACTCACAATTTATGTAAAAAGGTTCTCAGGGTAGTCTACTTCCATTATAAGATGGAACTTACAGTTTCCATGACAGGATACCACGGATGCAGCAACAAATTACTGATAATAGTCTCTTCACCCAGATTTTAGGCCTGAAATGGTAACGGTCCAACATCTATATTTCGTTACGGGACCACCATTCAGAACTTGGAGGTCACAAAAATTGCGTGCACAATAATCAATACTATATCACATAGCTACCAAGGAATACTACAAGAAAAGCTTCAATAAATATCAGACTTGATATGAACAAATACAATACATATATGTACTCACCTGAAAGAATTCGTCAAGCCGCAACGCAAAATCCAGCTATGACAGCGTTTAATCATACCTCTATACTCCAAAATGGTATTTCTTCAGCCTACTATAAGATTCAATTCAATATACCTTTGAAAAAACTTGGATTGATTTTCTAAAACACATTCAGTACAATTATCACTAGTGCTAGTTTCATTATGACAATGTGTTGTCAATGATAAAGACCTTGATCATGAAAGATATAAAGGAATGATGTTACACACCTGATCTGCGACCGCTCAAAACTCTTGTGTTCCCTGAATAAGTGACGCGACCTCAACAAGACTCACATAGCCTGGAAAGAAAAACATTTCAAAAGAATAACATTTCTTTTGCATATCGCAACCATAAAAGATAATCGATAGACGACAATAAAGTGAAAACGTCATGGACGTTTTGACGAAGAGAAAAACGCTGTCTTTTGTTCACTAACAGCTGATAGCTTGTCCCACGCGCGACGACGTCAATTCAGGCGCGCGTTGTGTAGTTGTAGCCAATAACATTACTAGCTTCCACGAGCAGCTGTAAACTTGAGTTTCCCGCGCGCACAAACTTTAAACCACCTTCAGTACAATCATCACTAGTTTCAATTTGATAATGTAATATCAATAATAAAGACCTTGAACTTGAAAAATATATTAAAAACCAGTCGGCTCGCCGGCTAACGCCGGCGCGCCTCCTTCTGATACGGCCCGGCTGCGCCGGGCGAGCGCGGCTTCGCCGCGCGTATTTTCTTTCACATATTTCTAGACTCAACTGATATCCGCCTTTTGTTCTGTACTCCACTTTTTTTCCGGTGTCTGAAGTACTCTTGAGCTATTAGGTTGGTCGAAAAGTCCTGCGACACTTTGACCAATTTTTCGGACTAAATTTTCAGTCACTAAAAGACATCTCCAATCTACAAGGTAATCACCACTAAGGACTAGGACTAGTGCCCTTCTTTTGCACAGCTTCTCATTTCCATTCTTATAGAACTACGGCAACTATGATAAGAAGAAGAGGTGGACCTCATTTTTGAGTAGACGTCGATTTTCGGAATTTTTGCCTTCTTAAGGATGCGGTAGGGATCAAAAAAGGTAGTAGTTAGAGACTGCTAACTTTGATGAATAAGCTGGGTATGGTCGCATTCTCAGATCAAGATCCACGATCTTTTGGTGTGGCCTGATCCTAACATGCGGTCTTCGCATTGCCGAGCGGTAGAGAAAAATTGAGTATTTTTGAAGAATTCAAGCGTGACGTCATCCATGTTGTGAGGTTGGTTAGAGTGG